GTGTGGAGCTAAAAGAAAATAAATGTTTGGATAAAAACTACTCCATTCGTCGACTGATGTCTTCAAGCTGCAACACATGCACTTGGAGAAAGTTTGACGTATGGGTTGGGCAGCAAAGATTCATGGGATATTTCATAAATTCATAAAGTATGAGTATGTATGCAAATCTACAAGTGTGCTTAAATTAGGGCTGCACAATATATGCGATAGACGTAGAAACAATATGAAGTTGGCCTACGGTAGAAATTTACCTGTCATTTACGTCATCGCACCTGTGTCAACAGGGCTGTGAGTGCAGAGACAACTGAGCAGGAGGAGTTTGAAATATAATGAAAATATGAAGAAATATAGTGTTTTAAAACACGTATAGAGAGAATAAATTCTCAAAATGTCCCCCTCCTGCTGTAGAAAAGTTACGTCGTGTCACAGGATCATTTCCTCCTCCCTCCCGCTGCACGTCACGCAGAGCGAAGCTTTAACAACCGTAGTTTTTTCACACCCAAGTTATCGGAGAAAAAACTTGTTTCTTTGTGTATTGTTACCCACAGAGATGATAAAACAAGATGTGGATGTTCGTTCAGTCATAAATCCATCTTGCTAATGTAACAGTAGTGTAGTGAGAGCGCAGCAGAGCAGAGGGTCAGTTCAGCAGATAGAAGCTCATGTATGGCAGGCAGATATTACATTTATTTGGCTTCACCACACTTACATTCCAGTTATGTGAAAATGTTTAATGACGGGACTATGTGCAGCTTAAGGTCCTGTCACATTATAACATTTTAGTCAGTTTATTCCAACTTAATTTTTTATGTCTAAATGACTAATTTTACTTGAAGTACTGGTTAGTACATCCACTTTATTTTGAAATAAAATCTGAGAAATGTTTTGTTTGTTGTTGAAACTGTTTTGCATATAAAACATTATTTTGTACTTCTGTTATGTTCATTTGCACTACAGCAAAAATGCTGGCTTTGATTATGATTACAGTTTTCCGCAAAATAAATGCTATAAAAATGACATAATCTTTGCTTTTTATGATCATTTTCTACCGYGRTATATACCGTTACCGTAGCCTGGCTCTTTTCTTCCAGTGCAGTTCTGCTCAATTCTAGTTTCCTTCACTGCTCTGTCTGGGATTTTTTCAGGAGATTTTTGTTCAGGCCAATCAGCAAACAGAAGGCGGAGTTTTGAATGATGTCGATTTTCTGCGCAGTGCCTGCTAGTTATTTTAGCATACGGCAGTGGAGGAAGTAAATGAAACCAGTCCGTGTTGATAAGGCTTCCAAATTAAATTAAATCTGTCTGACAAAGCAGCAGCTCTCATTTACAGTCGTCTCGTTCAGCTCGGTACTTTTCTCCTCTCAGTAGGGTTGTTTACAGCACACACAATTCTAGGTTAGCTTCTTGGCTTAGCCTCCTTCACAGTGGAGCTGGCACACAAATGTCGTGTCCAGCCGATCCAATTATTTTAAACTTCAGCAGAGGCCACGCCTCCAGCAAGAATCACTTCTCTATAGCCGAGAGTCCAGACCCTCGTACGAAGCAAAGTGAAGGACAAGGGTCTGGTTTTTACCAGGCTACCAGTGAAGGGATTCAGTTTATACTGTGACATGAATCTGAGGTCATACTGCCCAGCTTTAGCTCAAATCTAATCTAACAACAGGAGTTTATAACCTAGTAATCAGGGCATCCGCTGGTGGGCCAAATGAAGTGGCTCTGTGGGCCAATTTTGGCCCATGTGCCCCATTTTGGGCACCTCTGCTCTAACGTCTGAGACTAAAAACTGTCCTTTTTAGTTCTGAAACAGAACGTGGGCGTCACAGCCTGTTCAGAAGAGAAAAATCTTAATTTCTTCAATGTTTGACAAACATCTGTTTCTGTTCTCCTTCAGGTGCCGTATTACGAKTGGCTGGAGATGAAGACGGACTGGCAGAAACTGGCCTACCTGAAGGGCAAGATAGGGAAGGCTGTGGCTGAGGACATGGCCAAGTAAACTGAACAGCCTCCACTGAGTCAGCGTGGGCCCCACAGGGAACACACACACACACACACATCCACCCACATCCACGCTCGCATCGGTGCGGCGTTGCATATTTGAGCTTTTCGTTCCCCTGGCAACATGTGGGGCTTTCCCTGTTTCCATAGTGACGATGGTTTGGCTCATAAGCGAGGCAGAAATAAACACAACAGAGATCTGATCGAGGACCTGATTCTTTACGTCTAACAGTTCTGATGTTCACTGGAATTTAGGTGAAAAATGCTTCGTGTCAGGTTAGAAATATATTCAAATAATTTATCTCTGTGACCCACGTCAGCTTGTGATGGAATAAAGTGTTTTTATAGTCATTTTACTTCTCTTCTTTTTATTTATTCAGTATTTTAAATCATGTGACCCATCACATCGAAACGAGGATTAAGTCTAAAAGCTGAATGTGGAGAAATAGGCAGATAGTGTTTTGATTAAAACGCTTGCAAAAAAATACATTTTGTCAAAATATGACAAATAAATGTTTTATCAATGTATCGTTTCAATCAACTGTCTGAAATATCATCCTAAAAAAACTTTTTGAAGCACTTTTATGAGCATTAGCAACAAAAAACCTGATTTTGAGGAAAAACGCCTTAAAATTTTGAGATTTTCCCTGTGAGTTAGCAAAGTTTTGTTTCTTTTCAGTTGGGAAATCTCAACATTCAAATATAATTTGAGGTTTCCTCTTTTATAAAGACATCAAAAATTCCTCATTAAAATGACATAAAATTAGGATTCAGACTCAATATTTATGTATTATTGTAACCAACAAGACAAATTAAGTCATATATATGGATTTACTTATGATATCAGAATGATCCAGGTAACAAAATGTAGCGTTTAAAGCCAGGAATCTCAAAATGTAATTAGTTCATTTTGACCAAATTTGACTTAATCCTCATTTCGATATGACGGGTCACATATTTATGTATTATTGTAACCAACAAGACAAATTAAATAATATCTCTGGATCTACTAATGACATCAGGATGACTAACTATCAAAATGTAGCTTTTAAAGCAGGAATCTGAAAATATGATTACTGTATTTATTCATGTATAATACTAGAAATTTTACCCTTAAAACCATGCATAAAGTTGGGGGTAGTATTATACACAGGTTATTGATGATTAGATTTTTCATGCTTTTTAAGCTAAAAAAAATAATGGTGGTATTATATGTGAATAAATAGGGTAGGTCATTTTGACCAAATTTGACTTAATCCTCATTTCGATATGATGGCTCACATTTATGGCTCACATTTTCCTCAGGGCGGGGTGTACTGTTAGACAGCCTGAAGTCTCACTTTGCTTTAATTACAGAWAAATAAATGTAGATCCATTAGCTTCTTTACAAATGGTCATGCTCGGATGTCCTGATGCATCTCAGTAATCCAGGTAGAAAAATGAAAATATAAAATAAGTAGGTCCTCTGGACTGGTCCAGAGAGGACCTACTTATTTTTTTCTTTTTGACTCGTGTTCGAATGTTTCAAAAATCAAAATCTGTGGGCATGCTTGAGCACGCGTGCTCGCGAGAGAGCACTGACATGAACCAGCAAGGACAAGAATAAACCCTGCTGACCTGAAAGTGCTTACACAATGTGATGAAGAGGCAACAGCAGCACTTGGACATCACAGGCTGGCGAACGCAACCCAAAGAAGAAAACAGACTTTTTTAACAAGGAGCGAGAGAAGCGATGCACCGAGCCAGACAAGGAACTGGTGCAATGTTCTGTCCGGGTTTGTGTTGAGGCAGTGAAGCAACACATCTTTCTTTGAGTATTTGTCCAACTCTACCACTGACTGAGGCTTTTAAAGCGGCAGCCTCTGCTGAGCTAGCACTCTGCCATGGAAACTCCAGTTGCAGGTCATGTTGGCACGATGCTGCGGCTGCTTCTCTTTGTGATTCCACCTATTTCAACCTCAGCACTGGTCTGTTAAAAACAGATGGGCTCAGTTAAAAAAGAAAAAATACTGAACCCAGTGGTGGGCACAGTTCCCCTAAAGCACTAATAGGGGAAATAATTTCTTGATTAGTGCTTTAGGGCTTTTGCTATTTTTACAACTCATTAGTGGATTAGCACTTGCTAAATTTAGAAGCACTAACTGATAGGGATGTCCCGATCCAGATTTTTTGGCTCCCGATACAGTCCGATTTTTTTTTTTAATGATTAGTCTTTCCGATCCCGATCCGATAGCTTTATTTTTTATTTCTTTCCAGGTGGCAAGGTTGATGGTATTAAAGCGAGCCCTGCTGTTCCCACCACCAGAAACGTAAGGTTATGAATATAACCACGGTTCCTTGAAGGAATGGAACGAAGYACAACACACAGTTGTACATGGGACACGGCTGAAGCCACCTCTAATCGCGTCTTTAGACCGGTGATGTTGAACGTCTGGTGACAGGCTCCGCCTTCACCCTATAAGTT